GTCCTCTCTGACACAAAGCGCCATAGGGCTGAGGTAGGCGGGCGAGACGAGGGGTGCATCTTAACTTGGGACGTCCACACACACACACACGCATATATTCTCACACACACCCCACTGCATGCCACCCACACAGCAATATGGAGATGCGATATTGATACAAACCCAGCCTGAGGAGTTTGTGAAGATGATGCCGTGTTGTGTGGTTTTTCTGAAAGGTCTTGGTGTGTGTGGGTTATGCTATTATGTATGAAAAATGTTTAGAGGAAGAGGGAGGGACAGTAAGAAAGACAAGCACTTTTTTGGAGGGGGCCAATCTGTTGCAGCTCTGGATGAAGCCTTGTGATGGAGAGACAGTGTGTTAAGCGACATATGTGACACAGAGGGACAATAGGATTATGGTCCTCTTCTCGTTATCCGTGCCTTTGGACAGTGGGATTATCATCCGGGGAGTGAAGATCTCGGGCCGCTAAGCTTCAGTGCGGCCCGGTCCCTCGTCTCTTGTGTGGGGTGGGAAAGCAGGGGTGAAGGGGGTCCCCTGGAGAGCAAGCCGCTATCAGGATTTACATATTCATCAGAGATCAGAGCTATGTTCTCTTTCTCTCGCTTTTCTCTCTTCTCTTTCTCTGTGTCCTGCATACACATGCTCAAACATGCTGAGATGTCTTACTTTACTGTGTCTCTGAATTAGACGGGCCCTGTTTCATTGCATATTCAGCACCCCCAAATGCAAAGAGGTTCAATGTCCACTTATGAAAATGCTTCTATTTTTTCCACATGTTATGTTTCCTTAAAGTGTAATAATTTAAGTCAGAAGTTTACCTTAAAGAAAGTAATTTCTAAATATTATGATCATGTTCTCCAGCATGATTTGAGAATGATCCAAAGAGGATCTTGTGCTTAAATGTAAGCAAGAACATTATGACCTTTTGTTAAAAGTTAACATGGTCAGATCAGAAATGTATTTATTTGATTAGGGACCTTGAAATAGTGTAGAGTCTTAAATATTTCTAATTTTATGTCATAACATTTCTTTATTTTTTTTTATTACCTGATTTTGTTTATCTCCTGGTTAAAATGTGATTTTTTAATCATATTTTCAATGTGGACTTTTGAACCCGACTGTCTCCACAAATAAATGTATCACTCGGACATGGAGAGAAATAGATATCATTTTGTTTTTGAAAAAAATTACAGAAGGAATGTAACGGAGGAACTACTGTAATGGAGGGCAAATGAAGTTCAACTGAGGTGAAGGGGTGAGACAATGTCAAAGAAGGGACAACAGGGACAGAGATCACGAGAGATGTGTCTAATGAAGGAATGCTCACAGAGAGATGGAAACTAATGGAGACAAAGGATGTACAGAGTGAGCAAGAGTGGGAGAAAGATGGCGATGGGGTGGCTTGCTGCTGTTGAACTCATCGTCATCTTAATTGATGAGGTCAGCCTGGGGACTATCCCAAAACCAGCGTGTCCCTGGGAGGTCGTCGCCAGGTCACCCAAAAGTCAAAGAGCATCGGAGAGAGATGACGTAGTGTGTAACTTTACTTCATGTTTTTTTTTTCTTTGTCTATGGCCTTTTTGTCATTAATTAAAAAGACAGACATTAAAGTGGAGAGAGAGATAGGAAGTGGGATCAGGAAAAGATGCAAGCTGGATTGGAACCTGTGTCCCAATAAGCACAAAATACATTTATATATCCCGACTCTGCATGACTCGTCCAACTGTGACAAAGTGTAAATGGTACAAAACAACATATATATATATATATATACAGCGGGGGAAATAAGTATTGAACACGTCACTATTTTTCTCAGTAAATATATTTCCAAAGGTGCTACTGACATGAAATTTTCACCAGATGTTGATAACAACACAATGAATCAGTACATACAAAGAAACCAAAACAAATAAGCTCAGAAATTAAGTTATGTGTAATAATGTGAAATGACACAGGGAAAAAGTATTGAACACATGAAGAAAGGGAGGTGCAAAAAGGCATGGAAAGCCAAGACAACAGCTTAAAACTATTAGTAATTAAAAAGCAATCCAACCCCCTGTCCGTGCACATTAATAACAGCTGGTTCAGTCCCAACGGATGGCCTACAAAAAGGTCTCATTGCCAAGGTGTCACACAAGACACATCTCATGATGGGTAAAAGCAAAGAGCTGTCTCAAGACCTTCGCAACCTAATTGTTCCAACACATAATGATGGCATTGGTTATAGGCACCATTCTAAGCTTCTGAATGTTCCAGTGAGCGCTGTTGGGGCCATAATACGGAAGTGGAAAGACAATCATTTCACCATAAATTTGCCTCAACCACTGCTCCTCGCAAGATTTCAGATAGAGGAGTTAAAAGAATAATCAGAAGAGTTGTCCAAGAGCTAAGGATCACTTGTGGAGAGCTTCAAAAAGACCTGCAGATAGCAGGTACTGTGTTCTCAAAGAAAACAGTAAGTAATGCACTCCACCACCATGGCCCGTATGCACGCTCACCACGCAAGACTCCATTACTGAAGAAAAAAAGCATGTTGAAGCTCGTTTAAAGTTTGCTGCACAACATTTGGAAAAGCCAGGGAAATACTGGGAGAATTTAGTGTGGTCACATGAGAGCAAAATTGAATTGTTTGGATGCCATAATACACACCATGTTTGGAGGAGAAATGGCACTGCACATTACCCTAAAAACGCCATACACCTTGGTGTTAGCTCTTGGACAACTCTTCTGATTATTCTTTTCACTCCTCTATCTGAAATCTTGCGAGGAGCAGTGGTTGAGGCAAATTTATGGTGAAATGATTGTCTTTCCACTTCCGTATTATGGCCCCAACAGCGCTCACTGGAACATTCAGAAGCTTAGAATGGTGCCTATAACCAATGCCATCATTATGTTTTGGAACAATTAGGTTGCGAAGGTCTTGAGACAGCTCTTTGCTTTTACCCATCATGAGATGTGTCTTGTGTGACACCTTGGCAATGAGACCTTTTTGTAGGCCATCCGTTGGGACTGAACCAGCTGTTATTAATGTGCACGGACAGGGGGTTGGATTGCTTTTTAATTACTAATAGTTTTAAGCTGTTGTCTTGGCTTTCCATGCCTTTTTGCACCTCCCTTTCTTCATGTGTTCAATACTTTTTCCCTGTGTCATTTCATATTATTACACATAACTTAATTTCTGAGCTTATTTGTTTTGGTTTCTTTGTATGTACTGATTCATTGGGTTGTTATCAACATCTGGTGAAAATTTCATGTCAGTAGCACCTTTGGAAATATATTTACTGAGAAAAATGGTGACGTGTTCAATACTTATTTCCCCCGCTGTATATACATTATTTATTTTATTATAATAATAATTAAATATAGTATTTTTATATATTATTATTATTAGGAAACATGTATATATATATATATATATATATTAGTAATTTTAAAGACAGACAAAATGGATTATATTAAATGACAATTTTTCTCTTTAATGCCCACACAACCATGCACGCAACAGTTGGTTTTAAAATAGGATCTGTGTCTTTGAAATGCTGTCAGTCAAATGTTCTCTGCTGGAATTGCTAGAGAGTAGATGTCAAAGTAACCTTTGCAACACGGACATGCAAACACACACACACATATACCGAAACACAAATAGACTCGCTCAATGACAACACACTCAGTAATTGCTGCCTATTAAGGTCTTCGCTTCTCTCTCACACCTCATTACAGGCCTAAACACACACTGCCCCCTCATTACAGATTGCTTGCTAAACACACACACACATATACAATTCCCTCATTCCCACCTGTCAGTTAAACACTCAACCTGGCAAGCGTGACCACTGAGAGTTGGGTGTTAACTCGCTGATGACAGTGTGTGAGGTGTTGGCTCTGAAAACCAATCCAAAACATGGTAGAAAACTGTGATGCGTGCTGACCTTGTGTCTGTGTGTGTGTTGTGGGAAGAATAACGAGAGGCATTTTTTGGGTTTGTGTGCTTTACTTGCTGGATAAGGGTTGACTTGAACACTATGAAGAAAATTGACTCCCCTTTAGGAATCCAATTAGAGCTTGTATCTGTACACATACAGGTTGACACTTCAGAGACTGTCTAGTGTGTTTGCATGTTTTAGAGCAACAGGTCCAAATCCATTGGGCATGTACATATAATATAATTAATATTATATATATATATATTATTAATAACCGCCATCCCTTACCTGTTATTCTCCGCAGTGGAGTAATGTGCAGCCATTGGCAATGGGGGGTTTTGTTTATCGTAATTGTTGCAATTCACTAGAGCCTGATGCTTTTCGCACTCTCTTTCTCAAGGTGAAATGTAACTGAATGTGCCAAGAAGAGCAGATGGGTTGGTGAGAGAAGAGAATAAAGGATGTTGCTGCAAAAGAGCCCTGAGAGTATAATTTTGGGTGTACCAGGGTATGTGTCAGATCTATCTTTGTGTAAAGGGTATGAAAAAGTTTGTCATGATATATATCAGATCTATTTATGCAAGATAACTTAGTGTACAACACTTACTGTATTGCAGGTACAATGCTCCTAAGAGTAACCTGGGATCAAGTGTCTTATGGACACAGCTCTTTCCCTTGAAAGACCAGCAACTTTCCTGTTCCAGACATTAATGGCGTCATTTTTGTTTGATATTTTCTAAATACAATTTGAAGGAGGTTCAGAACATCAGAACAAAACATGGAAACTTCAAAATTAGGAATGGAAAAAGGTAAGATCAGTCCAAGGGGATTGGTGATGTCCATCTTAATTAAAGTGATGTCATTTTCTCTTTTTTTTATATATATTTTTTTGTATTTCTTATTTTTTACTCAAATATACAAAAAAGAGAAGGCCTTTATTTTGACATAAAAATGGTCAGATTTTCAGAGTTCTGACTCTGATTGTTAAAGACTGTGTTGTCAGTTTACTGCGCCAAGAAACAAAAGCTAGTAATTTCTAGTAAATAAGGTAGTAAAAGCTAGTAAATAAGGAACAGCTTGTGTGTTGGGCATACTGTACCTATGAATGTATGTCCTAATGTGTTGTTTGCCCGTGTCCCTGCTTGCGATAGTTTGCAGATCCTCTTCAGAGTACTTCAGATGACAAGGGACCCCTCTTAAAAACACAAGCCTGAACTCTTCAGTTTAAGAGCCCTGCTGGTTGTGTGTGTATGTGTGTGTGTTTCTGACTCAGGAAACTGACAGTTGCCCATAAATTATTTGCCTTTATTTTAAAAGCACTGCTCATTTACATCAATTTGTAGAGGGCGGGGGAAAGTAGTGAGGGGTGTGTAACTTTAGGTATGTATATGCGAGTGTGTGAGGGGGGTCATCTTAGGTGGTCAGCATAGCCATTCTTTCGCCCAAATATCCTGTCGTATTCCTTCTACCCCTGCATACTTGCCATTTCCATACACCCACAGTACACAGAGCTCAGATGCCTCCCCGCTAATTAGCAACAAGTCAGAGCCGCCCACTTCTGCGGGGCAGTAAATATTCCCACACACTCTCACACTCGCACAGACGTCCCTAACTCGGATACAAGACCCTCGTTCCCTCTCCATTCTTTCCCCTCTTTTCTGATTTTTATCACCTCCCCTTGTTTTGTTCCCACTTCTGCAGCCATCAATCATCCCATTGACCTATCTTGTTAGGGGAAACTCACAGACACGCCCCCTCGCCTCTTCTAGGCCTCAATCTCATCCCACGCTTTCTTTCTTTCTATAAACGTACGCATCGGAGCCCCAATGTCCATCCCTGACTTATACCTTCACAGTCCATCCCGCTCTCCTGTGCGGGTAGTGGTCAGGGCGGGGTTGTGGCCGCGGGCCGGACAGGGTCGTGGGGAGGTGTTTGGGGGGATTAGATTTAGGGAACACTCTGGGTGGTACGGTAGCCCCTGCGACGAGCACAATGCCTCCTGTGTCCCCGTGTGACACACACCCTTGTTTTACAACAGGGGAGGAGACACCTTCAATGCCCCAATGATGTGAACCACCCTGAGCCTATTCACGGTGACAAACGGCCACTGCTGGCCCCTGCGACCAACACATGCAGACAGACCATGAAGATCACAAGCATAAACATGATTTTTGCTTCATGTGTGCATTTGCTAAACCATTTTAGCAAAAAACACTACTACTAAATGCACAATGGAAGACACATTTAGACTACCTAGACAACATTAAATATCTGCACTCAAATCTGAGACAAGAGGGAATAAAAGGCTTTCCTCTACCTTCCTCGCTTTCTCCCTCTCCTTTCTCTCTGAAAGAACCTTCTTGGCTGGCTCTCAGTGGAGTTGAATTGGTATGGCTTTAATTGAATCAACTAGCTCTTTTCTTCTGCCGCACTTATGAGGCCAGAGCAGCCAAATGGCTTGATGACAACGTAATGGCAAAAGAATTGAATGAGCGACGCTGCCAGAGGGGTGAGAAAACCCAAAGGCATTCCTTCGTATCTGCAGCGAAACACAGTCGCACACAGACACATCAAAACACTATTATGATCACTGAGCTCTGCCAAAATAAAGGAAGAATTATGTTTTAGCGGAATTTGGGAATGTTTATGAACTTGTGGATTTTTGGCGAACATTGTATATAGAATATTCTATTCGAATGAGTGTACTAGAGTGAGTTTTCCATAATCAGATTCTATTCCATTTTTATATTTCATCTTTTTTTTATTACTTCATTTTAATTTCATGATGCATTCAACATTATGCCATTTATCAGTATAGAGCCGTTTCTACCTTATATAAGCTATACATTTAATTTTGTTGGCATAGCCTACGGGTATTGAAAAGTTTTCCAAACGGGTTTGCTTACCCCTGAGGGTTCGTGAGGGAACTGCAGGGTTTGAGTAGTTGAAAAGCTTTAATTAAATCATGAAAATATAAAATTTTAATAAACAGTTTAAAAATAAATACAGTGAAAATTAAACATTTGAAAAACACTTAAGAAATATTGAAATATATTATTAATTTAAAATATTTTATGTTGGTTAGGGTTAGGTTAGGACATTTATATTGATTCAGTGCTGTAAAATATTGTTAGACTTGAATATAGATGTTACCTCAAGAAAAGTTACCTTGTTTTTTTTTTTAGGTAGATTTTTTTCAGGGTGTGTTTCCTGAACCAATGAATGTGCTGTTGCAGGAACACATTTATATTAAATATCAGGCCATTTTAAACAGGTCATTTCCAGGCCTGGAAAGTCTTAGATTTTAATAAAGTCTTTAAAAAGTAATGGAGATTTTCATGCAGCGTTTTCTTTCTTTCTTTCTTTCTTTCTTTCTTTCTTTCTTTCTTTCTTTCTTTCTTTCTTTCTTTCTTTCTTTCTTTCTTTCTTTCTTTCTTTCTTTCTTTCTTTCTTTCTTTCTTTCTTTCTTTCTTTCTTTCTGCAGAATATCCACAGGAAGTGCCACCCATTCTTTGAAGATGCTCAGGTTTTTGGTGAACATTCAGTGTAATGCTGACATAGATGATCTCGACCCCTGGCTGCTGTGAAAGTTCGGGATGCAGAGGAGGGATGGAGAGATGTATACCTACTAAAGAATCTGGGCAGAGACAATAGAACAGCACACAGGCACTTGGGGAACAGAAGGGTGACACAGAGGGCAGCTCTCACCACAACAACTCTCCTCCTTTGAAAACAAAACCCCAACCTGTTACTGCTTCAGCCTGCCTGTGGGAGGGGATGCTCGTAATAAAGCTGCCAGCCCCCTCGTTAGACATCACGAGGGTAAGTGCATGTGTTTGAGTGAAGGACCAGGAACCAATAGTACAGGAATGCTCTCTTTCAAGTGACTTTTGGGAGCGAGAGCTCTGTCTCAGTTTTTCATATGCAGTCTTTTTGGTTCCTTCCTATTTTTATCTCTTAGTGATTACCGCGTAAGTTGTCCAAAAAACATGGCAAATACATGCTTATAAACAGTGCACAGGGTCATACCAAAAAAGACAAAACACCATCAGGGTAACACACATGGCACTAAAATAATGCAATAACAGAAAATATAAAACAAAAAACACATCATGCAGGGACTTCTGGGAATGTCCTTTTACTGTTTGTTTTTTTTACCGTAAATTTTACATTATTTTGTGTATGTGATGTTAAAGCATTTACAATGTTTAACTGATAAATGGTAAGGTAACCCACATTTAACCAATTAACAAGCTCTTACTGTAGCATTTTTACACACAAAAAAAGGAATTTAATGAAAAAGGTTTCAGTATCATTGGCACTGTACAACTCCAAAAGCACAATTAAATGTTTGAAATACTGACTTTTGCCATCACTCACTTTCATGTCTTACCAATCCTGTATGACTTTCTTCTGTGGAACACAATAGAATATATTTTGAAAAATGTTTAGACTGTTTTTCTTCCTACAAAACACACTGGACCACTTCCATTTTCATTTTCTGGACATTAAAAAATGTCAAATGATTTATTTATTTTTCATTATGAGAGTGAGTAAATGATGGGGAAAAAATTGATTTGATTTTTTGGTGTGTTTCTTTAGGTGCAGATTCCATAAGATACAAAAATGTTTTTCTTGATTAATATCCATACTGACATCATCTCATTTTCAGGGTCCATCTCAGCATCCCCCCTGCTTCACACAAGAACACACCCCTCCTTTTTTTTCTTTCCCTCTTGCAGGATCAGGGGAGCAGGTTGTGGTAACATTTGTAGCATTTGGCTGCAGCAAATCCCACAGCTTTTTCCTGAAAAGAAGCAGCACCTTAAAAAGGGAGGGGGGGCTCTTCTCCAGTGAAGCCCCTGGTCTTTCTCCTGCTCTCAGCCTGAGCACAGCGGTCTGCATGCCCCTCACCACCGCTTGCAAATCCCCCTTTATCCGCTGGCAGCCAGATGGGGTGGCAGGAATAATAGGCAGAGCCTGATGAGCACCATTCAATTTGTCCAGCCGTGTAAAGGAGCTTGTAAGCCGTTCCATTTGAGCAGGGTGTAATAGTAGCCAGGGGAGCAGAGGCTATGTTAAGACTTAATTACCTACTAATGGCTGTTGTAGGGACAAAAGACTTGTGTAGACCCCAACAACTTACACTCCTGTAATAGAGGAGAAAAGCAGGGAGAGGAAGAGGTGGGGGGAACTGTTTATTGAGCCAGAAATTTGTGATGTCCATATGTTAAAAATGCCATCAACACTTATATTCACTATGTATATGAGGTGTATGGATGAGAAGAAAGAAAGGAAAGAAGATGCATGTTTTGATTTTCTTTAGAAAGCCATTTGGGCTCAGAAACTTGAGAGAAAAGGTTTTCTTTTTTTCATTCTTTTTTCTTTCTTTTTCAGTTGGAGGGAAGATTAGCAGGATTAAGACTAGCTCACATATGCTGCTCTTCACTATTGGCATTCAACACAACATAAGCCCAACTGCCACCCAGACGGAGGGAGAAAGAGAGATGTAGAGGGTGAGAGTGAAAGTTTTCTTCTGATATTAAAGCAATGCTACACTGAATCAAAACTGTTTGGAATAATTGTGGAAGAAAAAAGGCTGTTTAGTGAGAAAAGAAACTGTTGGATGCATGGTGAGGGGAAGGAATCAAGATGAGGGTGCAGAAGTTAATTCAATTGAACTGTAAGTTACGATGGGAAAAAATATTTAATATTGAGCACTATTTCACCTATCAATATTATACAAATCTGTGACTGATCATTTGAACTTCTTTACCATGACCAGCTTTAAGTTGTGGAGTTCATGCAGTTCGACTGTAAAAGGAGGACAAAAATACTATTAAATTATTAAATTTATGTTAGTTTTTCAATTCAATTTTTCACTTTCAATGCTGATAACATAATTTAATGATTTTTTAATGGACCCTTTTCACAATGCGTTTCAACAGTTATATTGCAATTCTATCAATTTTTTTATATTTTAATAAAAAAATAAATGTAATGTACATCTATAACACAATACTTTGTATTATATTACCTTGGCAATACATTTCAGAAAACTAGGTAACACCACTGTGTGGATGTTTCCAATACAATGGCAGAAAGAGTGACAGCAAATTTGACTCTTCTGTAATACTGTAACTGATTAATATATCGGGTCACAATATATTGCAATACAAAAATGCAACAATATATTTAGTGGATAGTGACAATATGTATTGTGGATAGTTCACCCAAAATAAAAATTACTGTGTGAGAAAAAAATTCAAGTTTTCAGAGTTTTAGTGTCAGTATACATTAAACTACTATATAATGTTGAATATAATGATGCTATGGGGGAATATTTATGGGTCCTGATAATGCCAAATGTCTTATGTTACCAGTAAAAAGTGGCCTACATTATTTTAAATATATCTAGTCAGTGACAGAGTGCAAGCATATTTCTGTATTTTCAGAATCATGAATATTTTTATTCTGGTGTCACTATTGTCCTGTGCATTGGGTCACCAGCACCAAGTCCAAGCCTATTCAGTACACCCCCAATGTAATAGCATTTTAATTACCAGTAATTTTTTTTGTGAACCTTTTATCATATGTCTTGGAGTATCGCAATACTATAGTGAGTTCAGTATCGTGATATGTATCGAATCATGACATGAGGGTATCGTCGTTACACCCCTTATTTATTTTTAATTTTTTTGTGCTATTGGGAGAAAATTGAGTTGTAGTTTCCATTCACCATAGACCTTTACACAACTATGACGACTTACACTTCTGAGAACCCCGGAAATGTGAAAAGGATCCATTAAAAAAATAATGCAAAATAGAATCATTTTCACATTTAAACTTTAGACCCCATTTTAATTTATTTTGCAAAACAAACAGACACAGGATAAAAAAAAGAAGACCTCTGTTTAACAGAACAGCAGAAAATGTTGAAGAAGTAAAAAGTGCCGTGATATAACAGTAAAGTACTACTGTGCTTATGTTGAGTTTTGGGTTTTGCAGAAAAAAGCTGAAAGTGAACTCCAGCTGGATTCATTAACTTAAGTATGACTGCAGTTACAGCACTGGCTAATTTAGCTCTTGGGGTTAACAGTTTTTACACATATACACACCCTCTGCCCACCTCATTATTGGAATGCACACGCAAACACATCATTATCTCATAAAGGTAATGAGAAAAGAAGAGGATTTGCCAACAGGCGGAAATTAGCACTCAGTCTCCCTCCACACTCAACAGCCAGGCTAACATTCATTCACCCTGAGGTGGCAAAAGCTCTTGTATCTAACGTTTCTCTCTCTCTCCCTCTTTCTCTGAGGCAGGGAAGGTTTGTGTTAAACAAATAGCTTTTAATTAAACGACTGAACGACATAAAATGTAGCCAGTTCTGTATTTCTGTCATTTCAGTTGATTTAATTCTCTGCACCTGAACTGTGAAGTTTGAATAAGCTGTAAAATGCTGCCTGGAAACCGACATTAATGCAAATATGTCAAAACTCGGGAAAATGGTTAATTGAAATGTTTTGCGATATAAAACTGAAAAAGACATGCCAAACCTGAATAAAGCATCACTTTGCATCAGAGTAAATTTTATGCATATTACATTCAATAATCACAATTGCAACAATGACAATGTGCATTATGAACTGATCCACAGAAACTTACAATTAAGAACATTGCTCTTTTACATGGCTGCTTATAATCACTCTGTAATGTGGCCAGTGTTAATGCCTTAAGTATTGTTTAAGCAGGTCTGTAAGAAGGAGTGTACATCGTTTTCATTGCCTCAATGTAATCTAAATCAAGAGTTAATGACGTCAGTCATGGATGCTCTTAATTAGTCTTAATTGGCAACATTCTCGGCGGACTACAGTTACCAAAGTTGGGATGAATGGAGGGCAGACCAACCCCTGTCTTTCTCTCTCTGTAATTGCTCCCAAGACAGTTGTCAGTCAGTGTGTGTCGTGTGGGTGTGTGTGAATTTGTGTGCATTGCATTCTTCCCCGGGTGACATTTCAGATAATTATATGCGCGAGGAATAAACTGCAGCTCCGACAATAGGGCTCTTTCTGTCCCCCCGTTTCTAATCCAGACAGTCGCGGCATATATTACCATTTTGGTACACTTAACAAGTGAGATTACCGGAATTCATAATGAAGGAACTGAACTGCAACTTCTCTCCGACACCGACGGTTTAAACCAACTCATTTGCATAAGCGTATTTAACGAGAGTAAACAAGCAAACAGACAGACGGGACTGTGCGCACGGGGAAAACAACCTAACAACAACAGCTCATAGATGCTTCAGTGAAAATATGTTAAAGACCTTGATCTGGTGATGTCTCTCCTAAACTCACTGATGCGTCTGTTAAAACTGCACCTGTGGAGTCAGATAGATGAACAAACACATTTCCAGACTCTTTTGAAGATCTATCTATCTATCTATCTATCTATCTATCTATCTATCTATCTATCTATCTATCTATCTATCTATCTATCTATCTATCTATCTATCTATCTATCTATCTATCTATCTATCTATCTATCTATCTATCTATCTATCTATCTATCTATCATCATCATCTAAATACGTTAGTATAGCAGCCTATAGCGCCAAATATGTGTTTATGCATGGATATGTTCAATTAATTTCCAAAGTAGGCTATAAGAGAAATTTCTCATAAATATTAGCACTATAGCTGTTTATACATGTTTATGTCCTCCTCTTCTACCCCAAACAAAAACTTTTGTTCGTCCATATTGGCCTAATTGAAATGTTTCAGATCATAACCGTTAAAAACATTTTGCACGGCTCGTTTCCTACCGTTTTAAATGCGTTTAACGGCTGAAATCCGTCAGCTGCCAGGCGCCCGCATGGGGTCACCGGGTTAAAACAATATGAGCGCATTCAAACCGCAAAACAGTGTCTGCAACTGACCGCGCTCAATCCTGCGCGGGAAATACACACGATCACGAAGAAAAACTTGCATCGGCATCCATCTTCACACCACACATTGCCTATAATGGCTGAAGAGTTAACCATACCTTAGGCTACTATAAAAAATATGTAGGCCTATAATTATTTTTTAATACCAATTTATTACAAATAGTCTAATTGGTGAAAATATTAATTTGTTGAGTGCATTTTATTTTATTTTATTTTTTTATTGCCATTTAATTTCCCAACAGTGTACAGTGCATTTGGAGTTAGGACAGGACTTGAAACACAATACAAAATTGTCAAACAAAGTTCCCTGAAGTTTTACCATCTTGTGGACGCATGCACCACCTGACTTAACTAACTCAACTCAATAGCAGATTGCACAGTTTGTTCAACCGACTCACTGTAATCTAAACCCGACGATGTTCTGTGACTGTGAGGATGCACCATATGCGAAGTGTGTCTAATGCAGTTAATGAAGCCTCAGGTTTTTTTTTCTTTTTTTTTTTTCTTTTTTTTTTCTAATGACATCAGATTTTCGGACCCCCACCCACTGGAGCTCATTGGTTCTTGACGGGCTGTCGGAAAAGCGTTGACATTGTCCCGGTGACTTGCCCCCGGGTGATGGGGAGGAGGGACCTACTATAAAATAACCCTCGTCACTCTCGGGCGTGCCAAACACAAACAGTCCACGAGTGAACTGGAATAACACACCAACAATACACACCAACACGCGCGTGCACCTGCTACCGGTAAGTTTGAATATATAGAAAATAAATGCAATGATTTGATGACTTTTATAAAAAAAAAAAAAAGTATAAAAACAATGTAGCCAACAATTAGTAAACGCCTAGCATGATTTAAATGATTAAATTAAGTTCTCCTTCCAATTATTCAGTTGAGTATTTTTTATATGCTACTATTATATGATTTAGCTATTAGATAATCTCTAAATGTTTTTATAATAATATTTTTATAGGCCTAGTTTGCTTTTTCGCCACTAAACTCGCAAACTGTGTAACAAACTTCAACAGCTTTACTTTAGGGAACTTGGAGTTGGAGAGTTTATATGAATTTCTAGAACATAGGCTAGGCTACTCTTAATTTGCTCTATTGCATTTAATTAAACCATATTAATACTTTTTTTTTTACTTTTAGTTTTTAATTTCTTAACACATTTATTTCATTGTAAAAAAAAATTGTTTTGTTTTTGTTTTTAATCATTACCTTCTTTTAAAGGAATTGACATCTGTGAGAAGCTGCGAGGGCACTGAACATCATGGACTCCGACACGAGCCGAGTGTCCAGTAGACCTTCTTCTCCTGAAGGCGATGATCTCTTCCTGTCCGCAGTCAAGAAGTCCGTGGGTTTCTCCGGCGCCGTCTCCTCCACGCAGAGCGATTCTCCTCCGGAGTTAAGAGGCGCAGATCTGCATGGCAGCTCCAGCGCCGATGAGGACTCAATGGCTCTGAAGATGCTCTCCAAAAAGGACCGTAAACTTCTATCCGAGAACGAACTGCAGAGTATGCGCCTCAAGATCAACAGCCGCGAGAGGAAGCGCATGCACGACCTCAATATCGCCATGGACGGGCTCCGGGAGGTCATGCCCTATGCCCACGGGCCATCCGTGCGCAAGCTCTCCAAAATAGCCACCTTGCTGCTCGCGCGCAACTACATCCTTATGCTGAGCAACTCGCTGGAGGAGATGAAACGGCTCGTGAGCGAGATCTACGGTGGAGGGAGCGGGGCCCATCACGCCGGTTTCCACCCGTCCGGTTGCGGCACCCTTGCACACGCGGCCGCTCCGTTAGCTGGTCACCCTGCTGCTGTCTCGCATTCCTCTCACCCGGTACATCATCCTCTGCTACCACCAGCAGTTTCCAGTGCCGCATCTCTCTCCGGCCCGGGTCTCTCAGCCGTCAGACCGCATCACGGACTCCTCAAGGCACCATCCACCTCAGGGCCACTCGGCGCTGGTTTCCAGCACTGGGGTCCCGGGATCCCGTGTCCGTGTAGCATGTGCCAGGTGCCTCCGCCTCATGTGTCCGGTATGAGCACCGTCAGCATGCCACGACTGACCAGTGACTCAAAATAAAGTACTGAACTTTGATAACAGAACTCTGAGAACGAACCATAGACTTTTATATATATAAAAAAAATGTATTATCTCGTGTTTATCATGACTGAACAATTTGGAAAGCACGAGATCTAAAGCGAAGCGAAGAAGAATGAATCAAAGCCACTAACATAGAGTTTTCTAACACTTTAGAGATAATCCATGTGCATTTCTGTGTATGAAGTTTGTGAAAATGGTATACCGTACTCTTCTTAGCCTTCAATCCTGAGATTGCTATAAAGAAAGAAGTTTAATGTGAAATAGAGTTAATAAAATAAATCCGGCCAATTCATGCCTCAGTTAAAGAGGGCTAAATAGTTTCATGGGCCATTAGCCTACTATTAGACGAAACGAAATTATACATTCAAATGTCATAAGGTTTTGAAAAACATAATAGGATAAATGTTGTGTAAATATGTAGATAGCGTTTGTACAGTTTGAGAGATTTTATATTACCTTCCTAGTTTATATTCGGGGTCAGAATGCATTTGCCAAGCGCTGTCTGTAACAGGAAAGATGCACCTCTCTCTCTCTCTCTCTCTCTCTCTCTCTCTCTCTCTCTCTCTCTCTCTCTCTCTCTCTCTCTCTCTCTCTCTCTCTCTCTCTCTCTCTCTCTCTCTCTCTCTCTCTCTCTCTCTCTCTCTCTCTCTCTCTCTCTCTCTCTCTCTCTCTCTCTCTCTTTTTCTTCTTCTCAGTTTTCTGGCTTTCCATCTTTGTTGGTTTTATTTAGGCTAGGCCTACTTCTTTCTGCACAAACTTACCCATCATTGCCGATGCGAAAAATTATCAACTTTTATTTTTTATAATAAAGTGCAAAATGATATTTATTTACTTATTTTGATGGTATTTTCAAATTAATGTGCGGTGAATGTTTGTCATAACTGTAAAATAAATGTTTTAAATTGATGCATTTATTTACTTGTTTGTGCTTGATCAATTAACCCAAATATTTTTTTCAGTAGGGAAGCTCAAATATATTCTACAAAGTACTTTCAAAATGAAAGGAAACATGAACACTATATCTATCTATCTATCTATCTATCTATCTATCTATCTATCTATCTATCTATCTATCTATCTATCTATCTATCTATCTATCTATCTATCTATCTATCTATCTATCACTTAAAATGTAAAAAAAAAGAAAATTAAAAAGATAAAGTTCAGCGCAGTTATTTTGACGAAAAAAGTTCAAAACTTTTCTTTTACATTTTTAGATAACGGTATGCATTTTTTCGGAAACAAATAACCACTTATTCGCTCGTGATAAGAACAAACCGAGAGTGCTCAGACCGACACCATTTATTTATTGTAAACTAGAACAAAGATGTTCTAAAAAGAGTGAGAATGTTTAATAACTTGAGCCGAGATTATTGACAGACGGTAAACCACAGTCTCTGTGTGGCAGAAGTTATTTTAAATACCACAGGTTACAATTTAATAGTTTATAAAGTAATACATTTTCTATAAAAAGTTATGTATGATTTACGCATTATCTATCAGAATGTATACAGGCAAACTAGAAAAGTTTCTTTTTTTTAACCAAATATCAGTAATAATACAAAAGAGAGAGAGAATATGAATGTATTGTGCATTCTAATTAACGAAATTAAACAAATGTATGCTCAACTTTTGCGCACTTAAAATGCTTTCTTCACTGTCCATTTGCGTTCAAATGAAAATTATTTGTATCTTAACCCGGTAACGTGAACACTAATCATTGATAAACAGACAGACTGAGGCTAAATATAAATATAAATACAGTCATATAGAAAACAAGTTGATTGAGATAGAAGGAATGTGTCACAATGACTTTTCCGTAATTTGGCTCATCCATGACATCGTGCTGTGGAATTCGCCTTTATTTCCTCACTTCTCATGTCACCTGTGAACACCTGTCAAAGCAAACAATTTTGGGCAGCTTTCCAAATGAGACCTTGTAGATTTTCTTATTAACTTTTATGAAGCGCATAATTCTGGGAAAAATAAGATTACCCTCATGTTTTTAAGCCTCAAGGAGACGATCATTTATTTAGAATGCAAAAAACGCATTTGCTGTCTTGCACTACACAAAATACACAGAAAAAGAAGATGCGAGATGGAGGGAATAAATAAAGGAGTATTAGGTGGAATGCATAACTAAACGCCAGCAGCTGGATGGCAGATTGCTCTTTCTGTTGCAATGTTTTCCAAGGGATTTTTGAGCTGGAACGATACGGAGTGAAGCTGGCTTTTGAATATTTATATTTGCTACTTGTTTATTTGTTTTAAAATGCATTTTATTATATTATTATAATAATTCACCATATTAATTTTGAATTAGGCATTCAAAAGGCATTTTTTATTTTATATGGACACACGTTAACTGATTATTTTATGAGATATTTTATTTATGTATACTGTTTCATTTGCACATTTTATTTGCCGATTTATCCTAGATGAATTTTGGGCATTTCAAAAACATCTTCATTACACAACTAAATAGTCTAAATTCAACAAAAAAGGGCTCATGAACAAAAACAAATCTTTACGTATAAGTTTCCAAGCTTCAAAGAAAAAAAGTTTCAGTAGCAGTCAGTGTAATAGTAATTTCGACTCCAGATTGAGCTCCATGAAAGCAAACAGGCTGCTGATGTCTTGTCTTCCTTCACTAACATCTGCTTGTTAGTAATCTTCAGCCGCCTCGCCCATTTGCTCCGCGTAAAATGCAATTACTTCGAAAGGTAATGAGAATTACACGCTATCACGTTTCCAAATTAATCAGAGCAGCACCTCCCCCGCGGAGCCACTGAACAGAGAACAACTTAACGAAGGTCTCCTCTCACTCACTGATTACTGACACATTGGACTGTATTTACAGATACTAATAGGCATCACTAATAATTCACGGACAAATACTTCAAAGCAAATCAGGGTAGGCTACTATATATATATATAAGCCAAGGGTACTTTATTATGCCACTGAATAATGATTCGCAGATCAGTTCACTTAAACAAAATGACAAAGACAATAAACTGAATGTACATAATCTGTTGCATTATAATGTAACAATTTTGTTACAATTAGAAAAAGTTATTTTATAGGCTAAATTAAACTTTTTGAATAATATGTATCCATGCCAAACTACAGCAGCCTCATGCATAGCATTTCCACAGATTGTGTTTAGTGTTTAATATTTATGTGTGTGTGTGATGGCTTTAAACTCAGATCTTAAAACATTCTTAAATCCTCTGATTCAGCACAGATGTTGGGCCATTCAGAGGCAAACACTGGGCCTTGTTAGTCCAAAGGATTAGACGGAGAGGATTGAAGTGATGCATCAAAGGTGGTGGAAAAACACAAATAATGTAAATAAAGAAACAGCCAAAATAAGCAAATAAACGAAGTGTAGCATTGTGGGACAAAAGAAAGTAACAAGAAAGAGAGATGGGGAGAGAAGTAAAGTTCCTCTCGGTCTCCTTCAATTCTAAAATGTGTTTCTTGGCCTCTCAGTTTCATTGATCCATCATCGTTATTGCAAGTGTCAGTCATTTATCACATAATCATTCCAAGAAGTGCATTTTAGAGGAGAAGCAGACGGATGATTTGAGGAACCTGTACAGTGGCCATATGAGACCACACGTCCCCTGGGACAAGTGTTTATCTCACCCTCCATCATCTGTTCTTCCTTATGTAACACACCCCATGGAGCCGAGGACGTCCTCATGTAAAAGACATTTTTATTTTAGTTCATTGAGATTCATTAGGAAAGTGTCATGTGATGATTGCATAATTAATCAGCCTGATTAGTAAAAATTTGATTGGAACTATACGGGGATAAATGGGCAATAAATTCTGCTGCATAAACTTTATTTCTCATACACTTGTGATTTACCTCCCCCTTTTTTTTGGTCAAAACTGGCCAACAAGACAGGAAACAGAAATGCAAATCCTTTATCAGAACTGTATAGCTAAAACAGCAACTTTAAACTGTCTAACTTTTTACTTTTTTTGTGTGTAATGGTTTTAGTTGTTTTTTTACATTAATTAATTAATTTAGATGTTAATTTGATTTAATTTAGACAACGCTTGTAGCACTTTTTCAGTGTAGAATGAGAATAAATGTGTTAAGCAGTCTTTTGCTGTTAAAACATGAATATCACACTGGTGTGATGTACATTATATTTTTAACATTATACCCAGCACCTGGGTAAACATAATAAAAAAGAACCCAGCAAAATGACCCAACAGACTAAACCGAACATTTGGGTAAAAAAAAGAAAGAAACGTGGTAACGCTTTAGATTACAGCCCGGAAAGTACTGCGTAATTAAAGTGATTTTACAGCGTAACCTTTGGTAATTATAGTGTACCTATAACGTACTTACAATATTAGTATAAGGGAACAATATTTTAAGCTTGGGGAATAAAGGGGTAACAACCAGGAGAATTAAACAATTATTTATACTGTAAGTATTAAAGAACTAAAGGGTGCTTATTCTACTATTATGATATAACAATCTTACATTTGAGAGCAATTTAGCAAGAACATACCTTTTTGAAATAATGGTGAACCAGTACATAATGTTTAGGCTTTTTAAAAATTACAGGGTACATATCTATGCATTTATAAAGTAATCTTTTTAACAAAAGTGCACTGAAAACGAAAACTATTGCAACTTTTGCTTAAATATTGGGGAAAGATACTCTTGTTTCATGTAGTGGTGCTTGTTACCCTCTTGTTCCATGTAGTTACAGGATAAGTGTGACGTTGCGGGCTGTAAATTAAAGTGGTGCTTGTTACCCTCTTGTTCCATGTAGTTACAGGGTAAGTACAATAAAAATGCATACACACAATCTTATATCACTGACTCGGAAACCTTTATTTATTATACAAGCACCACTTACCCTGTAACCACATCTGCACTTTTGCTATATATATAAAAAAAATATATATATATATATATATTTTAAAAATAAATGCATAGATATGTACCCTGT